AATTTATCCAAAAAAACAATGATTAGACAACTGAAACAATGCTGCAATAAAGGCGCACGAAACGCAGCGATGACACAAAACGGCTGCAGCACGTTAAAGCACGCGGGTTGTACCACGTGGCAGAATGAAATGAGTGCAATTCCAAACCAACAGATAAGACAAGATATATACTCATACAGCTGTTAACTGGGTTAAGCGTTGACACTTGGGGAAACTCAATAGTCGACTCACGACTACCAAAGCGCATCTTCTACCCGGCTACCCCATGAAAGACTCGACGGGTTCATGCACAACCTGTCGACCAAACAAATAGGTATAAAGACATAATCTGAGTTAAGGTATAACGCTTGAGGGCAACCCGCCGATGAGATTCGAACAACTTAAGCATATTCTTAACTCGGAGTAGGAACATGGTTGATGCTCAACCAGCCAAGCAGTGCAACGAGGGAAAATGGCGGTGAACACGGCATAAACAAAGAACTCAACATAAACATATGTGCTTACATAGTTACATCACGGGATAACACGGCTGTAGGAACCCGACAGCTCAGGATTATACCCGGCCCAGAAGGTGAGATACGCAACATATCTCACCGGGTTGATGCTCAACCCGTCGACATAAAGGGGCAAAGGACACCCCGTATGGAAAAAATTCCATCACAAGCGGAGGATGCAAAGTCTGCAAAAACGCGAACACATTCACAGGCAAAAACCTGAAGAGATGCACACGTAAGTCCACCCCGACTACCCGGACTCCCAAGTAGCCGGGCTGATGGGCAACTATTATGGACCCATATAATGGGCCTATTAAGTGGTAAGCCCAACCAGAGGCAATCTAAGATACAGATTGATATTAACAAAGGATAGATATCCATCAAGGATACTAATCCTAATACGACAGCATATCAAACAGGCCTAGGCCCTCATAAGAGGTACCAAAGGCCCATCCACACTACTCACAGGTAACCTCTATAAATACAAGGTAAACCCTAAAGGCACGTTACGCTCTCTCTCTTACTGTTATGCTGTCACTGTGCGCACACACACACCTCATTGGCTAGCGCCGTTATAGTATTCAGTGCACAGTGATCTGCTGGACTCAAGAGTATCTCATTCATAGATACCTTGGAGAGGGAACTAGATCCAAGATCGACATACCAGCCTACTGGGCTGGACATCTCTGTCTTAAGGACAGAACATAAATGTAGAAAACAAAAAACAAGAATAAAGAATAGAAACAAAAAAAATAAGATTAAGAAACAAAATATTGTAATAGATTCATATAGGCAATCTCACATGCTGAGATGTCGATTCCTCTTTCGTAAAAAATAAAGTCAAATTTCTATTAAAATTTAATTGAATATAATTAAACTATAAAATAATTTCAATTGATTAAATTTACACTTTTTATTTTTTGTTCAAGTCATACGTATTACGTAGCCAATCCCCGTCGTATATTAAAGCTTGGATGATTACTTCAGCCAAGCTAGAACGATAAGCATCAATAACTCTTCCTCCAGCACTAAATGTTGATTTTGATGGTACTATAAAGATTGATACAAATCTTATGCCACTTTCAAAGAGAATATTGGTGAGGGAACGAACCTAAGTCCTTCCACCACCTACTTAGCTTACATGCACCAACTGAACTATCATCATTTGGTACTACTATAAATAATTATTTAATTTAATTTAAAATAAATAATATGATATAGGCTGACCTGTAAGCTTATAGGCTCGATACGTAAAAAAAAACTTATCACCTACTTTCTAAATAGGCTTCTTTAAAAGCCCAGGCCTGTTCTATTTGACTATATATAATAGGTCAAATCTGACCTGATATAGGCTAGGCCGTAGACTCCTGTAGGCCGTCCCGGTCCTCTTTCACCCCTACTAGACACTATATTGATAAAAAAGTATTTTTGAATTTTTATTTGTTATTATATTTAAATTGTTAAATTATTTACTTTTTTTAATCTGTATTAGGTGATAATCATTGTTATTAGTTTTGGGAAAAAAAGTTAGACACCATATCTATCTAGAAAACTTTTATATTTAAATTATTAATGATTAATTTTTTTTATCTTTAAATCTTGATTTTTTTATTTATCTTTATCATTAAACCTTTAAATGAATGATAATATATATATAATTTATATTGTTTTATATTTTCTTTAAATTTAAAATGAATTTTTTCCATCTGTATCATATGAATAATTAATATTAGTATAGTTGAAAAATAAGTTACATGCTATATTCAGAAATCTTCTATTTTTAAATTTTTTTATTTTACTTAAATTATTAAATGATTAACCTTTTTCTTTCATATGTGTTAGGTGAAAATTAATATTATCAGTTTTGGAAAACATGGTTATATAGATAGCTATCTAACAAGAAAAATTTTATATTTAAATATTTAATGATTAACTTTTTGTCATCTTTGATTGAATAGTATTTAATAATTGCAGGGTTGAAACGAGAGTTATATTTACAAATTTTTTGTTTACAAACTACATTATGTACTTCCGGAAGTACACTAGGTTACACTATGTACTTTCGAGAGAACATATTATAATTTGCAAAAATTTGTAAAAAAAATTTATAAACGAATCATTCCCTTAAAATATAGTTAGATACCATATGATCAGGAAATATTCCTTATAATAAACATAATAATTTTATATTTAATACTTTTAGTAATGTTATAACACGTGAAGATTAAACTATAAAAGTATCTATAACATTTTTACTTCCATACCAATTTTGCTATAATAGTATATCAAAATTAAATCCATAATAAGTATTGGTGGAATGTTATATTTACAAATTTTTTGTTTACAAACTACACTAAGTATATACTTCAATCAAGAGTGTATGACTAGTCATACTTAAGTGTAATTTGTAAAAGGATCTTTCTCTTAAGTATTTATAATTATTATTTTTGGTAACCAAAAGCGCCGGAGGCCAACAAAAGTATTTATAAGTTTACCTTCAAATCTTATTTCTTTTTTACATTTATCATTAAACCGTTAAATAAAAAATATAATATATTACAATTATAAAAAAATTTATATTTTCTTTAAATTTTAAAACGATTTTTTTCTATCTGTATCATATGAATAATTAATATTAGTAGATTTGAAAAATAAATGTAGATACTATATTGAGGAATGTTCTATTTTAAAACTTTGTATTTTTTAAATGATTAACCTTTTGTTTTCATCTGTATTAGGTGACAATTAATAATATTAGTTTTGGAAAACAAAGATAGTCACTATATTGAGAAATTTTCTATTTTCTATTATTATTTTTTATTATCACTAAATTACTAAATTATTAACCTTTTTTCATCTGTATTAGGTGATAATTAATGTTATTAGTTTTGGAAAACAAAATTAGATATCATATCTATCACGAAAACATTTATATTCAAATTATTAATGATTAATTTTTTTACATTTAAATCATGAATTTTTTTACATTTATCATTAAAATTTTATGTAATAAAACTTATTTAATTTATTATTTTTTTATATTTTCTTTAAATTTTAAAATGAATTTTTCCATCTGTATCATATGAATAATTAATATTAGTAGAATTGAAAAATAAAGTTAAAAATGCTATATTGATAAATCTTCCATCTTTAATTTTTTTTATTTTCCTTAAATTATTAAAGAGAAAATATTTGTCATTTTAAAGGACACAACTTTGTGTCATTTTAAATGAAAAAATATCATTTTTGTGTATAATTGATGATTTTTTATTTTCTCCCTCTTTTAATTTTATCGAAGGAAAAGAGAGAATGTAAAAAATTATCAATTACTCAGCAAAATCACGTTGTTTCATCTAAAATAACACAAAATTGTGTCCTTTAAAATGACAAAATGTTTTTCTCATTATTAAACGATTAACCTTTTTTCTCATCTGTGTTAGGTGAAAATTAATATTATCAGTTTTGGAAAACAAGGTTATATAGATACCATATCTAATAAGAAAACTTTTATATTTAAATTATTAATGATTAATTTTTTGTCATCTTTGATTGAATCAGTATTTAATAATTGCAGGTTTGAATTATAGTTAGATACCATATCAGGAAATCTTCCTTATAACAGTATAAACATAAAATAATCATAAGAAGGATAAGAATAATATTAAGGAAGGGTTTGTTTTGTTGCAGTATAAATAAATCTCTCTTTTTTTCATCGCATTTCTCGTTCTCAGACGCAACCAACGATGCTGTGAAAATTCTATTATTCTACAAACTGCAGCCTCCATTTTCACACCATAGTAAGCTCTCTCTCTCTCTCTCTCTCTCTCTCTCTCTCTCTCTCTGGCTTCTTTTTATATTAAAATCTCAAATTTTTAAATCATCACCCATTGACAGATCCATCTTGTCGTTCCTTTCTTCTTTCTCTCCTTCATGGTTGCGCAAAGGGTGCAATATGCAGATTCACCCGTGCAAACCATATGTGTGAAAAAGAGAAGAAAGAAAGAAAGAAAAAAAAAAAAGAATTAATTTTGGTTTGTATTATTTTGTTATTTTATTTAATTTTCTTGATTGGAAAATGGAAATCATGGTTTTTGACTCGTTTGGTGTCGGTTAGTTTGATATCAAGAACGATGAATTGGCCCTGATTATGAGAGACTCTTTTAATGACCTCGATTATTTTAATCACTTCACCTCTCATTTTATTTAAAATCCGAGATCAAGAATCGGTACGTGAACCCTTTCGTTGAATAATAATAATAATCATCGTCATTTATATCTGTGGTTCCTCAATTTCCTTGTTGTCTCATTAATTTAATAACCAATTCCTGTTATCGATTAATTTTATCATTATTGTATCCATTTGACTATCATTATTAATCAGATCGTTTTATTTTAATTGCAAAATTAATAATAATAATTGTTTGTTAATTTCTTGATTAATCTGCAGTTATTGGTTTTGGTGACTCTGAGGAAAGAAGGAGAGAGAGAGAGAGAGCGAGTGAAGCAATGTCATCGTCGAACTCACCGTGCGCGGCGTGCAAGTTTCTGCGGCGGAAGTGCACGCAGGAGTGCCCGTTCGCGCCGTACTTCCCGCCGGACAACCCGCAACGGTTCGCGTGCGTGCACCGTGTGTTCGGTGCTAGCAACGTGGCGAAGCTGCTGAACGAGCTGAGCGCGTCGCAGCGTGACGATGCCGTTAAGTCTTTAGCGTACGAGGCGGAGGCGCGGTTGAGGGATCCCGTGTACGGTTGCGTGGGGTTCATCTCATTGCTTCAGCAGCGTCTCAGGCAAATCCAAACGGACCTTCACAATGCAAAGAAGGAACTCGCTACCTACCTCAGTCCTCAGGCTATGCAGTGCCTCTTGGCCAATCCTGGTATGCTGCAATCTGCTGGGGTTGTTATGCCTGGCGGCGGCAGCAGCAGCGGCCATCATCAATTTCCGCCTGGGAATCCGTTTTCGGTATTCCCTAATTACGGCGGTGGTGGCAGCAATAATATGCCGCCGCCGGTTTTTGCGGGGCACGGCGGAGGCCAATTGGTTATCCGTGAGCCTCAACAACAAGAGTTTTTTGAGGCTCAGCAATTGGCTGCAGTTGCTGCTGCTCGAGAACAGCAGCAACAACAAACTATGTTGAGGAACTACGAGCAGCAACAAGAACTTCTCCGATTCAATAGCGGGTTTGAACCGGTGGGTTCAGTTGCTCTTGCTGATGGTGGTGTTGGTGGTAGTGGGTTCGGTAACCATATGGGTGCTCCTGGTCCTGGTCCTGGTCCTGGTCCTTCTGAGATGTCTCCTTCTTTGGCTTTGGGTACCTTTGATAATGTTGGCTCTTATCAGATGCAGCAGCAACAACAGCAACCACAGCAAGGGGAACATCATGTTCATCCTCATCACCATCCAATTGAGGCACAGCTTCTTATGTCCCCACAGCATCAAAGCCAGAACTCTCAACAACAATCGCAGCAGCAACATTCTGAAAGCGGGGACGGTAGGAGCCTTGGTCCTTCTTGTTGATTTCCCTATTTTGCAGCTCTTGTCAGACAAATTCAAACTAGGTATGTTTATCGAATCTTATCCCTTGGATTTTGGGTTTATCATGATATATATATATATGATGAGGTCTCTTTAATATATATGCTTGTGTAAACGAGGGTTTCCTTCTTGTTTTATTTGCGGTTTCCCTTTCTGTTAATCTACTTATTATGACTCTTGATTTTGGTGCATTCTGAAAGCGTGCGTTTTCCTAATACTTGGTTCTGTGCATTTAGGAATGACTTCAATGCTTTGTGTGTTGTTGTAACATGTGATTGTTTGCTTTTGCTAGTGTAATTTCGTGACTGAGAAATCTAGAAGTCAGGTTAGGTGAAGGTGTTTTTTCGATGAGGCTGTATGGTTCATGGACACATTGAATATAACAGCTCTTAATTACTTCTTGTTATTAAAAGAGTAAACATAAGTTATGATATTAAAAAATATAAATTAAAATGGACACATTGGATTTACCATTCTATATTCTACTTATTTTATGCTAATTAAAATGTCATGCTAAGGATTAATCAATCCTAACTCAACTCATAGGATTGAACTATATATTAAAATGTTTTGGGTTTGATTCTTATCCAACATCCTTAATAGATAGGCTATAAGTATCTTATAGAAAGACTAGCTGGAAATTGTGAAATGCTCTAACATCGGATTATAACTCCACATTCTTTTTTATATGTCAAAAGAAAAATATAATGGTGACTCGGTGAGTAACATTACATATATAGGGGCATAAAAATAAAAAACAAGCAAGGGGGTGTCACTGGAATTTGGCAATATATCCAAGACCAAGCCTATGCAATCAGATTATTTTATTTTATTATATTTTTAATTTAACATTATTAGCTTCATGGTGATTAGTGTCCTTCTTCACCTAGTGAAATTATATGCTTCGCTTTGTGTGAAAGAGAGTTTGAGGAAACCGACATGCCAGCCAAAAAAGACGGTATAAAATGAAAGTTATATCCATTTGCGGGTTCAACAGTATTAGTCAGCTTCTGTGGCATCTATAAATCGTAATCTCGACACACTATTCTTTTCTGTGTGACGACAATTCATAGAGTTACAAGACACTTTAGTTTTGCTTTGCTATGAATATTTGCTCTTTCAAATAATTTCATGTAGTGCCTCACTGAAATAAACAAAAAGGCTGTGGTCAGTAGAAAGATATTTGTTGATTTTAAATGTGCATAATTTTCGGATGGATTCGAAGTGCAAAAAGAGAAACTCACCTCAAATTGTATCTCATATTCATTTATTGCAATCAAATATGTAATGTATTATTAAATTATGTGAAAAGAAATAAAGAGACGAATGGTGTAGAATTACTTCTACTATGTATTCACTATATATGCTGTAGACATCTCCTAATACCTTTGCTTGGCCCTCTTCTGCAGTTCTTGTTTTTGGGTGCAACTCTTCTGCAGATTTTCTATTCGGATTTAGATGGCCATAGAAAGAGAGATCTAGAGAGAGCCCGAGGGGTATAGAAGAATTTCAAGGTGCACAAATTTTAAAATGTGGGATCTCCTCAGTTCTTGGAAAGTTTTTTTTTTTTTTTTTTTTTTTTAAAGTAGCAGTATATTTTACCTCTTTTGTTTTTGCCAAAACAAAATGTAAATCAGAATGCAGAAGTTAGCTTTTAATGAAGGCTGAATAATATCCCTAGCTTCTTCTTATTCATTTCTATTGATCACATCGTAGTTCTTTACTTGTAAATAATTTGTTGATTTGACACCTGTGATGGTTATAAGTTATAACTCACATTGGTATAATACAAAAATTCGTCAGAAAATTTATGGATTATAGTTCTACTTTAGATATGGACAATTCTACAAGGACATATGTTAATGACACAAAAAGCACACTCATAATACATGATTTTGCACACAAAGAATGAACATTATTTTGCTAAATCCAAAAATAATTATAAAATTACAAAAAAATGAGTGTTGTTGTACAGATTACAAAGAGACGCAGAATTACTTGATTTAAGGCTTTTGCAGTTGAATCCTTAATTTTTAATGGAGTGTTTATAATATTCTAAGCTTTGACTATAATAGTTTAATCCTTCGTGAAACATATGATTGTTTAACTCTTTGGGCTAAAATCCCCGGTTTCTTTTTATTTTGTGTTGACAATTTGACATAACGCCCACACAATGAAAGGAACAAGCAAATGTTTGTGTGTACGAAACAAAGTTTCCTAACAGTTTCTGATTTGGCTATTCACACCGGTGCGTCGGATTTTACCATAGAATATTAAAAAATGCACGTAGCCTCGTAAATTTTGATTAGAAACCATAGAAAGTTGCTTTACCGTTTACATTGTAATATGAAATAGCTTAAATAGTTTGCATATAGGTTGGAAACTTAGTACTACCATTATAAGTTTAAAAAAAAAGGAAAAAAAGAACAAATAGTTTAGGTGAGTGATTCTTGTATATATATGGAAATTGTAGCCTAAAAGCAACTTATTTATCTCACTTCAAAGGCAATATTTTGCTATCAAATTATGGTAACTTAATTGACGCTAAGGAACTGAGCAGATGATGTTGAGAACATATATTCAATCCATTTCAGTACTATTTTTAGGAGAGATTTAAAGTCTTAATCCCAAGACTCACCTTGAATCGGATTAGTCGCGAAGCGATAAACTAATTAGAATATTTTCAAAACACGATTTTTAAAGTAGTAATATACATGTTTTAAAGTAGTATATGATAAAGTCAAAATGGCAATATAAACACTTGAAGGAAATATACAGCTCCACGAGGACCACGACACACGCAACAGTTTGTCGTATGACTAATAAGCAGCTGACAATATCAAACCCAATTCGAAATCTAAATTTCCACGAGGAATGATAAAAGACGACATGGAATCTTTTTTAATTTCGCAATTTCGCCAAGAAAAGATTGCATGAAGTCATTTTGAAAATGGAAAAGAGATTATCACAATCACATTTCTCACACCATTTTAACGAAGAATAAGTTTGTGGTTAATAATTTGTATTGTTTGGTTAGCGGACTAATCGACGATTATATTCTAAAAATTGGTTATTGGTCCATTAATTAGAGCCCGTTTGTTTTCCCTTCTAAAAAAAGTAACTTTTATCTCTTCCTTATCTTAGAAGTGTTTTTTACGAAAGTTAAAGCTATTTATATTTGTATAAAAAATATTTAGATTTTGAAAAAAAATATTTGGCTTTTGACTTCTGCTTTTTTTAGAAATTAAAATTTTTAGCTTCAGAAAAAAAGTAAATTTTTGATTTTTTTTTGTGACTTCTGCTTTTTTTAAAAACAGACGTCCAAACAAACTAAAAATGAAAAGTGTTTTTTTTTTCAAAAAAAAAAAAAATAGCTTTTGGAGAAAAAAAGTCCATCCAAAAAGCCTTTAATCACGATTTTGTACTTCATGAACTGTTATAAAAATTGTGTAAAAGAAGTAACGTGCAAATATCTGAGTTGTTGTTAGATAAGTGCTTTGTCCTCAATGTAATTGGAATCCGTTATATTGCGCAAATGTGGGTTGCTGACAGGTTTCGTTAACTGGATTTGGTGCTGCACGTTCTTTGCCTTCTCATGTCATTATCGTGAAATTATTTTTGTCATCATGCACAAAATATTTTAAGTGCTTCCCTTGTACCGAATATTCATTTTCAAATATGGTAAAAAATAATACTTTTACATTACCTCTACTTTTATAATTATTTTCACCTATATCTCATTTTTTTTGGCAAAGGAATAAATACTCCTATATACCAAAAATAAGCTCCATCATGCCACGTTTGACCTGCACGTAGCTAAGTTGATAATTGGCATGGTACATCCGTTTTGCTATACCACGGTTAGGTCATCAATCGTTACATATTAATGCTGATGTTAAGTATAGTTTCCATGTCAGGCTTGCTGATCACAGTTTGAATTTTGAAAGAGAGAACCAAATCTAGTTTTCAGAAGAGATGGCATAAAAGAAAGAACAGTTCGGCATGTTATAAGAAGTTTAACTAAATTGGGCACGATATACTTATCACCAAAAAAGTTTATCACATTTACAATCAACCTAATCACCGTTTATTTTCGTCAATCTAACGGTTATAATTTATTGAGAATAATAATTAATTAATAAATACAACCTAATAATTTCCAATAAATTATAACCGTCAGATTGATGGAAATCAATGAGGATTAAGTTAGTTGTAATGGTTGTAAACTTTTTTCGTAGTAAGTATATCATTTTCCTAAATAAATAGATTAATGTTTCTCATATTTTAGGAGATAATTTTATCTCTTAAACATATATAAAAGTGTATAGAACTTATATATATATATTTTTTTTCTCTCTTCTTCTCATATAAATCCCACACACTTTTATATGTATAAGAGATAAAAGTATCTCCTACAAAATAAAAAACAATAATCCCTTAATTAAAATACTCTAAAGAGATCTCATTTTTAGGTAAAAGAAAAAAGTTATCTTTACATAAAAATTAAACAAAACAAATCAAACATGTAATTAGTGTAAACCCAGCTCTTTATTCCAAGTTTGGAAGTTTTCTACCATGTCGGTGGTTACAGTATAATTGATCCTGGAACCAGACATAAATCTTACAGGCCAGCCAAACAGACAAATTAAATGGAAACGTGGCTTTGTCACAAATAGAAGAGAAATTCATATGCTTTACTTCTTTAAGAGCAGAATTAAACTACCCTTAATGTTATTCTCATTGTGATTGACGATAAATGCATAAAATACAAAGTAAGATTAAAAATACAAGGAGAAATCACACTGACTTTCTTTGTTTGCAAACTTATACTCTTTGGTTTCCCATAGCAGTTGGTAACTGAAATAAAGGGGAAAGGAAGAGAGTCTTGCTTTTGATAACTCAATTCTAGCGGGTAACTTATTTGAAAAAATAGGACATGAATCAAAGTGAATGTGAGAAGAGAGGGTTTTTTTTTAAAATAA